ACGGTGGGTTTCGAACTCTTGACCTGCCACTTGGTGGGGGTGACAACCTAACCACTACACTAGATCGCCACACCCCCTGGTCTAATTCTAAATCTACTGTATAGTTAAAGTCTCCTATTATTATTAAACTATAAACCTATTTTTCTTTTTATAAAACTTTGTATAACTTGTTGTTATATCTTCATCTCTTGCTCTTTGTTATTTGGTAGAATATATATTATTGGAATTGTTATCTCTAGTTGCTTAAAGAAGAGTGTTATTTTTATTATATATTTGTCTATATATATAACTCTTATAGTGTGTTCTGCCTAGTTCCTTCTTACTAATAATCCTACTTCTAAGCCTTTTTTTTTGTCTTTATTTACATCTGACCAAAAACTTATAAATTGATTTTCTGAAAGTTCTTTGACTAAATACTGTCCCTCTTTATTTGTTATATTTAACTCTGCTATTTCTATTATACTGATATCTTCTTCTCTTGCCCATTTTAACAGCTCTATTAATTTAATATGTCCTTTACTTTTAATCCTATTAATGTTATGACATGCTATTTTAAAATTAAATATATTGTTTATTTTTTTGTTTTCTTTATACAAGCTGATAAGCTTGCTCTTACTCTTGTTAATATCTGTGACAACTTTTAGGAGAAATTTGAAAGATTTTCTCCTATATTAGAAAAAACTATTGGTTTGCCTTCTAACATATCTAGTCTTTTTAATATTTTTTAAAGCAATAAAGTTTGATTAACATTTTCTATATCTTTTTTTTTGTTCTTTTAATTTTTTCTCTTTTTTTTTCTTCTAGATCTACTCTGTTCACATTAGTTGTATATTCATTACTAATGTCTTTCAGATGTCTTTTAGTACTAACTTGAGGTTCGAGATTGTCATTGCTTCTATTGACTTCTTTTTGTTTATTAGGATTTATTCTAGAACTTAGATTTTGAGTACTTTGTATATTTTGCTGATTTTCTTCTACTTTGTATTTCTGTTTCATTTAGTAATTTTTTTCCTTTGTATAAGCTTTTAATTTCTCTTTTATACACAAATAGGCTGCAAAGGGAGTTACTTTTTTTTGTGTTTTCTATACTTAAATACTATATTAGTTTGGTATTAAAATAGTGAATACTGCAGTTTTGGGTGATTTGGAGATCTTTCTTTAATTTAAAATACAAACAAGCTTTTTTCTTTTGATTTCCATTACTGTTACTCAGAATATAAATTGCTTGAACTTTGTACTTTTTAAGTTAATATAAAAGAAGACTATCATATGCTGTTGTAGGAATATTAAAAATCACACTTTTGAATTTATTTCTTTCTTCTAATTTTGTGATATCAAATTTGCCAGGTATAATTTGGTATGTTTTGCCTTGTACTAAATAAAGTAACCAACTTTCTTTTAATAACTCTTCTTATTGATCAGAGTTTGGCAAAATCTTAATATATGTAGCTTTGGTTCTGAAGTTTTGTTGCCATGTCTTTATAATTGCTGTACCAAAAAAACTAAGATATGATTTAATTAATCCTGTGCTTGTCTTTTTGAGAAGGTTTCATAGAGTAAAGAAGTATACCAAGTTGTAAATTTGCTTTTGGAGATAGATTCTGCTTTTTGGAACCCATGCTGAATTGTATATATCTTCATGTTTTTTTAAGCTATCTTGTGATTTTTTTCTCTATTTTTTTAGCCAAACCATAGTCTAGTATATTACACTTCTTTTGAATTAATATACATATATTTTTTGTTACTTCTAAATTGTTCTTAGCAATATGTGTAATTACTTCATATTTAGCAAGATTTTGTTTGCAAGAGTTATTCTGTATTTCTACTTTGATATTGTTAAAGATGTTATTAGTTATAGCAATTGGTGTTATTGATATAGTTTCTATAAAAAATAGCTCTTTTTTAACTCTGTTTTGACTATTCCCGTCTTGTACTAAGTTTGGACTTGTAGTCTAAGTGTTGTATCTTCTTTATTAATTTCCATGTTATTATTATACTCTTTAAGTATTTTTACAAGTTGTAAAATTGGTATATTTATTTATATATTGCTTTTTTGTATGTGTTTATTATCTATCTTATTCAAATATGTTTTTACATAATCAGAATAGTTTAGCAAAATTTCTTTTTCCTCTGTTATTGTTTAATCTTTTGCTTTCTTGTATTAAGCAAGGCTATAGTGTTGTAAAATATTATATATATATATATTTTTTTATATATTAGAGTAACTATTTAGGCTATTGGCATGAGCTTTATTCAGGTAGTTATGATATTACATCTGTTTTACAAAGATACAACTAGCCACATGTGCACCTTTTGGGTGCCTAATTAAAGTAGTCTGCCTGGGTTCTACACTAGCTACCATACCTGCAATCTAACTAAGAAATTATCTATTTAAGCTCTTTAGTTATTTCTAACAAGAGTACGACTAGCTATACATACAACTTTTGGTTGCCTATTTAAGTAGTCTGCCCTAGGTCTACACTAGCTGCCATACCTATAACCCAACTAGGGAGTTACCCATTTAAATCCTCTAGCTACCACTTTTATAACACGCTCTACCCTAATACTCATATGAGATTAGCTATTGCTATGAATAACTTTAAGACTTTAGCCAAACTATATTGAGACATTTATCCTTGTAGTAAACCTAACAGAGTGGTATATGTCCCACATATGTACTCATTTGCATGTTTGGTAACTTTTTCCTAATTAGTACATGTTGTGCTGCTGCCACTGAGTTCATATCTCAAGCTATCCTTTCAGATACTACTATAACCCAATCTGTATCTCAAGCCACAATATTTCTAATTAGTTCCCACTTACGTACTCTTGCCTTTGCAAGGTTCACAACAGTCCCAGTACCTACATTCTAACTGTCTTCTTTCCCAGATTTCTTACTAGTTCATCCCTTACTTCCAGCTAGCAATCTAGAAAGGTTGGTCTGCCCAGGCTCTAGGTGCCTTATGGTCTCCCTCTCCTTGGTACATGCTTCCAAAGCACAAGTCCTTTTCCTCTGGTGGTGGGCTGGCGGTTCAGCTAGTATGTTTTTCTACTTAAGAACCTGTTCGCTCAGTTTTTTGATCTTGGTCACCGGTTTCAAATTCAGTCTTCCTGTAGCACCATCAAAGATCACTGCATCTTCTCAACTCGGGACTTGCCAAACAGGTTTTCAGTTATTCCAGTTCCTTGGATTTATTGTGCCAAAGCACCTATTCAAGATGGTGTGACCAAAGTTACAGATTAGGATCCAACAATAGTAATAGCTATTAACTATATCACAGAGCTATTTTTCGAAAACATCATCTGTGAGATTTGAACTCTAGACCTGCTGTCTGGAGATGCAACAACTCCACCACTTCACTAAGTCACCACATCGTAAAACATTATATATAATAGCAACAAAATAAGTTTTACTAGTTTCTAGATACTTGGCTACATTTCTATCTTCTTTCTAAATAAATACAATTTGTCTTTATTGTAATGCTATTCTTTTCTCTTGTGATTTATTAAAAAAGTTTTTAAAATCAATAAGTTCTAGCATTTTATGTGTAGTATTGGTTTGGTTATGTTTAATTCATATTTGTATGTTGTTATTTGTTTGTTTATACATGTATTTGTTGTTATATTGTTTGTTTGTCTAATAGTGTTAAATTTGTTTGTTTACTCATCTAACTTGGCAAGGTTTGTTTGTTTTCTAATTTGTGATCTGCAAAAGGAATCATAACAAATCTCCAACTTTTACAAGTTTTTAGCAAAATTTTGTTAAAAATTTGTATTTTTTCAAAGAGATGGGTCTCATAGCTATGAGATGAAAAGTTGCTCTAAGAAACTAAAATTGTTTTCTTATATTCTATCTTTGAGCTTAATACTAGACTAGTTGTTGACTTGTACAATTTTGTTATAAACCTGATTTTTCTTTAGCTCTAGTCTTGATTTTGAGGATCAGTAGAAAGAGTTCTATAAGTGATTTAGATATTTAATATAATTTAATATAATTAATAGTTATAAAGCATGAAGTGCTGAATAACTGAGGTATTTGCAGAATATGATTTGATTAGTCAATTTTAAGCACCAAAGATGTGCAAAATTCAAACAAGCAGATTACATATACAAATACTAGTAAAGTACGATTTGCATTTTTACAAGCGCCTCAAAAACTAGCATGGCACGATAGCATTATGCCAGTCTTTGAGGTGCTTGTAAAAATGTGAGAATCATACCAAAGTTATGAGGCACTTGTGCCTCATAACTGTTTTATCTGGCTTGAGATAAAAGTCTTTGTAATTTATTAACAAAAGTATTCGAACCTTTTTAAAGCTAAAAATTTACAGATCAAATCACTATCACTATAAAGACTATAAATATAATACAATTCTCTTGTCTTCTTTTCTTTTACAATTTCTTTTTTTCTCACGTTCTCTTTCTTTTATGTTCTCTTTCTTTTTATATTCTCTTTCTTTTTATATTTTCTTTCTTTATTCTTTTTCTTTTAATTTTACTTTTTTTTTACATTCTTTTTCAAATCAATATTCGAATATAGATAAATATTCTAATTTTTTACCTTCTAATGACCAACTTGCAGCACTCGCTAAAGGACATGTTCTAAAAAATACAGCCAAAAATACAGAAGGATGGAGTAATATTATAAACTATTGGCGATTAGATATTAATTATAATGAACCACTAGAAAATCAAGACAAGAAAACAATCAAACTTCAAGTTTCTTAATTCTTATGTGGTATAACAACTAAAAAAGGTGAATCTTATTCACGAACATCATTAAAGATTGCTCTATCAGCAATTAATTGGCATCTTCGAAATGTCAAACCTGGTTGGCAATATAGCTTACATGATAAAGATAATTTTCCAGACCTGTATGCATAGTTCGATAGTTTGCTGAAAGATATGAAATAAAAGTGACTTGGCGAATCTAAATCCACGGATAGACTAACTACTAAAGAGATTTGGCATATATTAAATCACGAAATTCTGGATCCAAATACTCCTTTAGGATTATTAAAATAGGTTTTTTTCTGGATTTCCATATTAGATGCTGCAAGAGGCAGTGAACATGCCAACTTACATGTATCACAAATTGTAGATATACCTGATAGTTTCATATTGAAAAAAGCCCAACAAAAAAATAACCAAGGAGGTATAGAAAGAATCAGTTTGACTTAATTATACCTTTTCCATCTGATCCAGAAGGCATTGCAGGGCCAAATTCTGATATAAAAAAGTATCTTTCTTATCATTCTAAAAGCTTTAAATATTCAAATTTTTACCTTGCTACTTGTTGTAGTTCTGATAATAATAGTGATATTAATTATTTAATTATTTATATTATTTATATATATATACTTACTAACGCTAATATTAAATAATTTATTAAAGCTATTGTAAAAAGAAAATGGTATTTAGACAAACCATTGGCTAAATATACAATCCATTCATTGTTTAAAAAAATATGCATCGAATGTGAAATCAATGTCGAATCAAGAAATATTAGTAATCATTCTGGTTGAAGAACCAGTATTATGGAATTATTTAATATTGGAGTTCCTGAAAATACTGGTCATGCAATAAGTGGGCATAAAACTTCTGGAAGTTACTATGCTTATGCCAAACTTACAGATAAACATAAAAGAGAAGCATTAGCAAATGTTCTTAACAAACTAATTACTGCAACACCATCTAATAAAATGATGCAAAATTCAACTAATTCTGAACCTGACGATAATGAAGACTCACCAAACACTATATCTAAAGATGATGAACATTTAAGTAATATGGATTTAAACAATTCAACACAGGTAATAAATATTTAGTTATAACCAATTTTAAATTCACTAAGCATTAATTTATAAATTAATAAAACCAAATTTTTTTTGTAAAAAAAATTTAGGAGCAAGACGAGTATGAATTTTATGGAAAGTTTGATATAGCATGAGAAGTTTTAAAAAATAATAATTCCCACAAAATAGCATCCATCAGCAAATTTTAAAACCACAATATTGCGCAAGAATTGCGATTGACGCGTAATATTGCGAAAGATTTTAAAAAATTGCGAATAGTTGCGAAATTTATTAAGAAAATTCGCAAACTTTCGATAGGTAG